TAACAGCAACCCAGTTTAGAGGTTGTCAATCAGATCGAACCAGGACCGGACAAGCTTTTTGCCAGTGCCAGGAGCCGAATCCTCAAAGTCCAGGCCCATGCCGAGAGTGTGGCGAGGATTATGGGCGACGGCGATGGATTCGACGATCAGAGTTCAGGGCATTTTGTTTGCAAGCTTGAAGAATTGGGGGCACGAAGCCCTAACAGGGGACCGATTCTTCGGGTAGAGGGCTGTGAGAGATGTGTGGGGAAGCTGAGACTGCTTATACCGACCACGAGTGCACATTTCGAGCCCTCCTTCCTTGCTCCTTCCTTGCTGAGGATTAGTAGGGAATAAGGGAAAATCTCATATAGGGGATTGGAGGGATTACATAGGGCTTACATTCTCTTGTACTCCCTACTAACCACCCGTAAGTCTGGGGTTTGGGCTTTTGGCTGTAGCATTTTAGGTTGCCAGCTCAAAGTTTCCGGGATGAGTGAGGAAATGCTGGCATCGCAAGGAAGCTTGTCGGCTGTAGCCCAGTCATTTGAGAAAGTCGCATTATCGTTACTCCTTGGGACTTCGCTTGGACCTTAGACCCTCAACCCTTTGGGACTCCCTTATACTCCTAATATAGATACCGCAAGGGTTTTAACCCTTAGTAGGGGCTGTAGGTGCCACGGCGGTTACCCGGTAATTTCATGAACCTTGCCGCATTCCTTCAGAGTCACAAGGTAGGTCGGTTTCCTAAATACTTACGAGCCCTTTCATGCCCACAGTAAAGTAGGCCCCCTGCACTATTCTTGTTAAACAGACTTCTACATCATAGCCGGCTTGAACCTCTGAACCCTCAACTCCCCAAACCGTGGAACCTCAAACCCCTAAACCTTAAACCCCTAAATCCCAAACCCTAAACCCCCAAACCCTAAAAAGCCTAGACTCTCCATGCCAAAACCTGAAACCCCTAACCCCCCTAACCCCCCCTAAACCACTAAACCCTAGACCCCATGGCCCTCCCCAAGGCCCTTTCGCCTCGCGTGCGTGCTGCACGGCGCGGCTGGTCCGAGGTAGGCTTGGCGTTCCCCAGTACTACTGGGGCCTAAAAGACATATTGGGGATAAGGTTCAGGGTTTAGGGTTTTAAGGGATTAGGACTAAGGGTAATAAGGTTTAGGGCTTTAAGGGTTTAGGGTTTAGGGTTAGGGGTTTACGGCTTTAAGGGTTTTGGGTTTTGGGGTTTAGGTTAAGGGTATAAGGTTTATAGTTTTCAGGGTTATAACCTACTTGCTTCGTCCACCTGACCCTTCAAGTATATTTATAATGACTTAGGATCTCCAGCTAGGGCCCTAAACCCTAACCCCTAAACCCTCAACCCCTGAACACGCAAATCGGACTATACCCATGCACAGAGTCCCTACCGTTTCTTTTGTGCAGTGACAAGACCAATCAGAAGCTGCTCCGGCCAAGGAGCGCCAGATTCAATATCAGAAAGAAAGAAGTTCACTGACCCGGGCAGCGGGCATGGCAAGGAGATCATCCCGCGCGTAGCTGTCAGGGCCCCTGGCCGCCCTGGGCTTGAACCTTCGGAGGGCGGAATGCCATTGAGAGGACGAAATGTCTGGCAGGACTAGCGGCCTGTGAGGCAGGTAAGCGCGCGCGGGTAAAGGCAAGGATGCGACTCCATTGTTCATCTGAGCTGGGCTTATTCCATTGCTGAGACCAAAACTTAACGAATTCGGCATGAATCTCTGGCACTGCGGAAACGTATTGAAGTTGTTCAAGCTCCCCATCAGCGGGGAGAGGTAGCTGGCCTTCAACGCGGCACACTTCAGGGGAAAGGAGTTCAACCTGAACACCAGGGCCATCTAGACGCCATTCGGAGTGACCACTAGTATCTGGCGGCCGATCAATGTGCAGGAGGCCTTCAGCCTGGTCAGCCCCGAGAATCTCATACGACTGAGTATTGACCAGGAGGTCGACAGGCCGGCTGGCTTCCTCACGAAGTTCTTGGAATAGCCGCTGTCTTGACGCCTCGTGGCGTGCGGCCAACACCTTGTGGCGCTGTGCAATGTGCCACCGCTCTAGGCTTCTGAAATTTTCCCGAAAGTCAAAGAAGATGGCTTCGGCGGCGGCAGAAGTAGGGACGGGGCAAGGCAATTCCAAAGGACAACCCACCTGCCGGATCGGGCGTCTGGACCACCAAGAAACAAAGCCCTGGTGAAAGCCAGGGGCGCGCTTTATGCTCTGCCACAAGCATCCTCGATATTCAAGAGCCGCAGGCTCATAACGTGGGTTCTGAAGAGCCTGTCTGAGACTTTGGAGTCTGCGGAGTTGTTTGAACCATCGTCGAACTTCCAAAGAGAGAAAGTCGCTTTGGAGAACTTCGTCTCCAGCTCGACTGGCCCTAGAGGCCTGCACTTGTAGGTTCTTGACAACCGGCTCTTTGAAACGTGCCCGTCCGAAACAGCTGGCGGGCAGTTGTCCACCCGGCGATGCCACATGCCCATTCAGGCTCTGCTCAAACAGCTGCGCATGTTTTTGATAGCGCCGAGTCGGATTGAGAACAGGAGGCAGGGCGACATGGGGAGACGTGTTGAGGCCATCCAATGCAATGCAATTCCATGGAATCTCGGCGGGGCGAGGCCAGTAGCGGACAGCGCCAGCATTGGAAGCAATTACAAGTTTTGCGGACACCGTAGAGTGTTCCTGATAGATGTCCCGAATGGCACTGTCAGTGCACAAGGCCGCCACTTCCGGGGACATATCAAGAAAGTCGCGCCTGGTGACGTCTTTGCAGGTGGGCGCGGGGATGCGTCCCCATCGCTGCCACGTCAATTCTTGAATCTCAATCCATCCCTGCTGGCGCCAAATGCGAGTTTGCAGCAGCACATCCTCATCAGCGTTGAGGTCACCACAGATAACCCTAGGGCCTACGCGGCCGAACACTAGCTCTTTGGTGATGGGCTCCAGAAGTGCGTCAGTAGCTGCGGCAGCCTGCAGATGACTTCTGCTGTAGCCATAGACGTTGGCAACTAGGAGGGGAAATCCCTCGATTAAGACCTTTGCGATCTGCGCTCGAGCCGTTTCATAAATCCCGGCTGGCCAGGGAATTCGAACAGGGTGCATCGGCCAATCAGCGGCCACCAGTACGCCTGTCCACGAGCCCGCCCATTCACTATGCGCTCGCAGAGGCGCTGCAGCGCCTGCAAGAGCTCTGATGTTGCGGCTTTGCTGCCGTCCAAAAGTGCGAAATTCACCGATCGCTGGGGCAATGTGACTGCAGACAACTGAGTCTCTCCAAAGCAATGCACCCCGCATTGCTGTTCAACCGCAAGAGAGACCTTTCCCCGAAGTCCAGAGGGGTTACTTGTGGAGATCCAAAGGTCGAAGTCAGGGCCAGGATGGCGAGCCTCGCCTATGCGGTCAGCACCGGCAGGGCCAGCGCCGACAGTGACAGGCTGCAAAAGTCCAAGCAGCAAAATCCAAAGGCAGGGGAAAGGAGCCCTCCCAGTGGCTCCAGAGCCGCGAGCGCCAGACCGCGCTGAATGCCCAAAGCAAGCTGACGGCAGAGCCGTGCAGGACCGACGTATCCCCAGTCGGGCCCTGCAAAGACAAGCAACCATAAAGGCAAGAAGCCAGGTCAACAGGAGAATGCGGAAATGCGCAATGGCCAAGTAAGGAACCAGCCTGTGCCTGGCCGATGTGGCGCAGCTGGCGTGACCTAGTCACTCGGAGCGTTGTTTCTTGGAGAGCAGTGCTTCAAGTTGGCTGTGCTGCTGCTGGAACTGCTGTTGCATCTGAGCGCCAAGCTCTGCCAAAAGCGAGCTAACTGCTGACTGAACCGTGGCTGGCAATTGTTCGGCTTGCCGAGCAACCTCAGCACGAAGCTGCGCAACTTCCCCGGCCTGTGCCTGAAGCGACTGAGTCAAGGTCTCAGCACGTGCGTGAGACTCTGTCACTTTTTGGCCAAAACTCTGAAACCAGCCTTCAAATTTGGAGTTCTGCGCCTTCAACTCCTGAAATCCAGTCTCAAGCTGACAGAGACGAGCTTCAGCTGCATCAGCCTTCTGAGTGACTGCTTTGCCGGATGCATCAAGGTGCTTCTGCACGAGGTCTTGCATGCCCTGAGAAAGCTCCTCCCTGAGCTGGGTGATCTTAGTTTGTGCGCCGGATCCAGCAGTGACAGCAGGCGGAGCGAGGCCAGGGGGTGGGCGAGCAAAGGACCAAGGATCACGGCCACCTGCCCAAATATCCTGGGAGGCGCTCGCGGGCACTTCTTCACCATCGTCGTACAGAATAACGCTTGGTGCGACCTGAGGCAGTAATGCCGGCCGGGGGAGCGGAAATGGCAGTGTCCTTGACTTTGCGCACCAACACAAAGGCGCCGCCGCACGCTATGGCAGGACTCGGCGGGTCCTCGGCAGCGCCGACAATCCAAGCGGCACCTTGGCCGTCACCGCACGCTGGTTGCAACGACTCCGCATCCCAGTGCCAGGATTTGAGGAGGCCTTGTAGGTGCTTTCGCTGGCAGCCAAAGGGCAGCGGGTGAAGATGAAAGTGTGCGACAATCTTAATCTTCTGGAACTCGCTACCCGGCCTTAGTGCTTGGTGAGCGGCCTGTTCTTCAGCCTCACGGCATCGAATGCCGTAGCGCTTGCCCAAGCGCGTGAGAGCGACAGCTTGGGGGCAAGTACGCAGCATATGCAGTGCATGCGGGTAATCGGCTTCTGGGAGCCACACTACCGCAAAGCCAGCATGTGGCGCGGAGCCTCCTGGCTGATGCAGATAGCGCAGTGCAGACGCCGGCACGCGTACCAAGCAAGCGAAGAGAAGACTTGTGCGTCTTCAGGAGGCGCAAGCTTCAGCCACTGTCTGCCCCAGAGGTCCAGGAGCAAGCGATCAATGCAACCTGCTTCTTCAACTGACGGATGGAATTTACCACAGGATTGGCTGCAGGAGGCATCCTTGCAAAGGGCAAGACCGGGGTTGCCAACGACGAGGGTGCGTATGGGTGATTGTACAAAGGAGGTCCAGTCGAGTGCAACCTCATCCCGAAACACTGTGAAGCGGCACGTGGCGGTTTCCAATTGATCTGTGTCAGCAATCTGGCTTTGCTGCAGTTGCACAGGCTCATCCCCTAGCTGGATAAGAGAGCCGCGTAGCAGAACGGCTTCTCCAGTAGGCCCATAAATAGCGGGGAAGTGAACCGCTGAGACACGGGCGGACCCGCGCTGCTCTGTCGACCCAACGAGTCAACACTCAAGGACTTCCCGGATTCCAAGAACGGCATTGCCTGACTCATGTTACAGAAGGCAACACCTGTGGTCAGTGCACCTACCTCGTTGAAACCTATCTGGGGCAGAGATGACCCATCCGCATCCACAAAGGACCCAGGCAACAAAAGAAGCTTAGCCGGATCAACTTGGAGCGCAGCAGCAGTGCGGGCGACAGGCTGCCAGGGCATGTGCAATGGGACCTGGGCCTAGCTTGCGGGTCGCAGTTTGCACACGTTCCTCAACACTGGCAGTGGGAACCCCTTTTGTCTGCAGAAGGGCTTTGAGCTGCTGCAATTGCTCGGAGGAAAGGTCGCCCGAGCCAAGGACACGGCCACGGGCAGACTCGGCTTGCAATAGCTGCTGCACGATATTCTCAACTTGAGGCCCAAGCCCAGCCACGCAGGCACAAAGATGGCGCAGCATAATGATTCCACAGGAGTCGGCCTGCTGGCCCTGAACAAGCCAAGACAGGCTTTGGAAGTGGTGCGTGGCTCTCCCAAGGAGCACAGCAAGTACTTGCCCAAGATGCTGTGCTTGGGCGACGAGTCTGTCTGGAACCCCATCAAGGTAGAGGATCGAGAGGCAGTCTGGCTGGATTTGAGCACACATGCAAGCCCAGTGGCCATCTGCAGCGAATGGCAGAAGGAGTCGGCAGTGCAGAGGGAGGGTTTCTTGGTAGCAGCCGAAGTGCTTGGCATCTTCGACAGAAAGGCCGGCAAGTGCGGAGACAAGGCTGGTCGGCAAACACGCTACCTCTGCAGGCAGAAAGTCCCGCCGAATCTTTTGCAGAGCAGAATCGAGATCGGTGTCAGAAACAACACCCAGCGTCTGAGCAGTCAAAACAGGCGGCCTGAGGTCAAGGACAGCATCCGCGCACAACGGAGCATGAAGGTCTGCATGGCCATCCGACCCCAAAATTTGTGCAAAGCCGGGTGGCAAGCCAAGGTCGTGCAGGACTTGTGCGGCTGAATCTCCGGGCCTGCACTGGTGTATGCAAGTGCCAGACGTTGTTAACAAGGCAACAGAGCAACCTGTGCACGAAGCAGGCGGCGCTTGCACTGGCGCAGGGGCACTCTTGGCACTTTTCTTTGGACAGACCTTGACCACATAAGAAGCTGTTTGAGGGTGCAAGTAAGCATTCGGCAGTAGAAGCCGATCACCGTTCATGACCTGAATGGACTGGCCTGGCCCAACGGCTGCACGAGTGGCGGACAGGACTTGCTGAACTTGCCAAGGCTGAGGGCTGGCAGGAAGTCTCATGTGCATGGCAAAAGTGATCGGCGCTTCACGGGGCGTCTGCAAAGAAGGGACCAGCCAAAGGTCATGCTTTTCACGTAGCAGGCGTTGCTGAAAGACCTCCAGAGCACAGACCGGATCAACTGGCTGCTCGTCCTGAAGTCGGGACGAAGCCCAACACTGCAAGCTGGCGAAGATCCAGTGAGCCTGAATGGGGGCACTTATGTTCCCTACCAGGCAATGTCCAGCACGGGCGCCTCGGGTGAAGCGAAATGCAGGGGAGAGGCTGTTAAGGAATGCGGCCTCACACGGGTGCAGGAACCTAAAAACCCCAACAAGACCAGAGGGCACACCTATACCCCTAAGCCCTCCGGCCTGTAACCTGGTGTCGCTGAAGCCTCCGGCTTGCGTGTTCAGTATCGTGTATCGGTGCTGGGCTAGCATCCGCGCGCGCCAAGTGCTCCAATGGATCAAGGACATTTTAGAGGGTTCTCTCGGCTTCATGCCAGGGCGGGAGGCCCCTGAGGCATGGTTTGTGCTGGAAGTACAGGATGCCTCTGTTCTGTCAGGTTATGGCACAGACCTGGTGAAGGCATTCAATAATCGCCCAGGTCTCCACTCTTCCAGGCTGCTAGCCACCTTGGAGTTCCTGACAATCTGTTATGCCCATGGCGCAACTTTGTCCAGAACATGCAGCGCCGTTTTGTCGTGCAAGGAGCTGTCAGCGAGCCCATCTTGTCTAGTTGCGGTTTTGCGGAAGGCTGCCCCTTAAGCACAGTCGCCATGAGCGTCTGTAGCTACCTCTATCATGAATACATGCAAGCATTCTGCCCCTCCCTCGAAAGCCTCAGCTATGTGGACAACCTACTGGGGGTCGGCAAGGGTGCTTTCGACGTTGCTGTTGGACTCAACGTCGCCCGCTGCTTTTGCGAGACGCTGGCTTTGGAGCTTGACGATTGCAAGACCTACGCTTGGTCGACTGATCGTCAACAGCGCTCCATCCTTCAGGCCTTGCGCATCCCGGTTGTAGCATCTTGTAGGGAGCTTGGAGGGGTCATTTCATTTGGTCCTGCCACGCGCAACCGCCCATTGGTGCAGCGCTGTGAGAGCTTAGCTCCCTTGTTTGGCGCATTGCGGCGCTCTAAGGCACCTTGGCACACAAAGCTCTCTGCTTTGCCGACCAAGTTCTGGAGCCTGGCCTTGCGTGGGATTGCCGCCTGTCCGGTCTCCGACTCCTTGCTGCAGTCGCTAAGAACACAGACGGTTCGGGCCCTGAGAGCCGCGCCCGCCGGGGCGAGTCCGGTTCTTCGCCTTTCTCTCTCGCTGCCAATGACTGCAGATCCGGGGTTTTGGCAGTGTTGGAATTGCCTCACAACTGTTCGACGCCTCTGCCAAAAGCAACCTCGTCTGACTGTGCTCTGGGCTGACTTCATGACCAGGTATGATGGACGCCTCTTTCATGGCCCATTTTCAAAGCTCCTTGTTGTCTTGGGTAGCATTGGCTGGCAGATCGGCGCACCGCCCATTCTGGTAGATGAGGAAGGCCTTTCGCACAACCTGCTTCACCTTCCCTTGCCAGCTCTACGTGCAGCCGCTGAACGTGCCTGGCTGCGTAGTGTTGCGCAGGCGCACGCCCACAGAGCTAGCATGGCGGGCCTACAGGGCATTGATGCAGCCCTTGCGCAGCTCGATATTTCTAGGCTTTCCCCTACCGAACGTGCAAGGGTAGCCGCCTTGCAAAGTGGAGCGCTGATGTTCGCGGAAGCCCAGTCCCGGTTCGACCTTACACGTTCAGGCCTGTGCCCACGTTGCGGTATCCCTGACACTAAGGAACATCGGTTGCGTGATTGCCCGCTATTTGCTGCGGCAAGGGAAGGGCACATGGATGTTCTTGCTCGTTGGGATGCCCTGCCTCCATGCCTTAAGTTTCATCTCCTGCCGCCTGCCAATCCAGCGGCCGTTGAGCTTCGCAGTCTGCTCCAGCAAATTCCTGATGGCTCTTGTAGCTTCTTCGCCCGGCCCACTTCGGGTGTGCAACATCTTTTTACAGATGGTGCGTGCAGCCGCCCTTGCGCAGCCGAACTTTCAGTTGCAGCATGGAGCGTCATAAGTGCCACGGATGGCGTGGTCATCGCAACGGACCACCTGCCAGGTTTGCTGCAAACCGCGCCCCGGGCAGAACTCTTTGCACTGCTGTCCGCAGTTTCCTGGATTAGGTTTTTCGGGGTTCAGGGGGTTATATGGGGTGACTCCTTGTCTGCTGTTGAGGGCCTCAGCCTGATTCTGGCAGGGCAGGCTCCGGCCGATAAGTGGAATAACCTGGACCTTTGGCAACGCATCTGGGAACAACTGGCTGAGCTTGAGCCTGGCCAGCTCCGCACTCAACATGTCCCTTCGCATCTTGATGCTGAGTTGTGTGAAACGGAGTTTGAAGAATGGGTGGCCCGCTGGAACCAGTACGCTGACACAACGGCGTGTTGTACGAACGCAAACCGGACCGGACGGTTTCTGGAGGTGCAGCAGCAAGCTATTGCCTACTACGAGGACACAGCACACTGCCTGCGCTCACTTCGGAGCGTCTACCTCAACATCGCCGATCAGGCCGGGCCCGCAGACACGCCGCACGACCACTTCGACGAGCCGGAGGAGATTGATTTTCAAGAGGCCATGCCGCCAGGACTTGAAAGAACTGACATGCTTGTGGAAGTTTTGCCGTTATCCTGGCAAGCCGAGCTCACAGTTGGCATGACACCAGGCCTGAGTGGACAAGCTTGTAGGCTGTGGCGCCTAATCCTTGAACAAGATGCCAGTTCCATTGCTGAGTATTGTCTTTCCTGGCTCGAGCTTGTTGCGGTGATATGGGTTTTGGATCCGGATGTTTGGAGAACACAAACAAGCTCAGATGCCAGGATCCCCGTACGGAGTCCTACGGTTGCAGAACAACTGCGCCATCTCCGTCGATCGGGGGCCCATTTTCTTAAAACGTTCGGCCTCACCCACCTGAGAGTGTACAGGATCTCTAAGGTTTCGTTGGGTTTCGGTTTCCCCCTTGATGGTATTCGGGTTGGGGTTTCGATTGCTGTTCTTCAGAGGGCTCAGGCCCTATTAAGAGATTTCTCGAGTGGGCGATTTTGCCGTACTGTCGCCGACATTGAGCGACATTTCTGACTGCCCCAGAGGGGCTTGCTTCGAACCTACAGGACAGGCGGGCCGCACTGCATCCTGCTGTGCGTCTGCTGCATATCGTGTGTGTGTTAAACCCTCAACCCCTAACCCTGACTTCTTGGTTCCCTACAACGCCTCATTGTTCAATCTCCTTGGTTGTCCCCTTAATCCGGCTTATTCAAGAATACTTGTAGTCTCCCTGAAGTAGATAGAATATAGGGGATAGGACTGTAGAGTTAAATCGGCCACGCTTAGGGTAGCGGAACCCATGTTACAGGCCCCTAAATGAGTCATGAATATGATGGGGTCATAGGAGATGTATAGGGTTAGCTTGTAGGTGTTCAGGGTTTAGGCTGGGTTCAGAAAAGGGCATTTTCGACGAATTTACATTCTCATGATCCTAGAGCCTTTGTATAAATACGGTACGGGTACTTCAAGTAAACAATATGGGTAATTTTGTAGGCTTCTACAGTAGGCGGAAATCGGTTAAGGGTTTAGGGGTGTAGGGAGTTGGGGTTAAGAGTAGGCATAGGGTTGCATGGCGGAAGTCTGCAGTCGTTTTTGTGATGTAGAATGTACAGAGTGGGCTCCTTATGCAACAAGGATTTTTCTGCAACCTGGGGGGGGCCCTGAACCCTAAACCGCGGTTGGGACCATGATTCATGGGATGATATGGTTGAGTCTAGAGGATGAAAAGTAATCGGAGGTAACTAGGGTTTGCTGGTTGTAGTGTGCTGGAGAAACCTCTGGACAAGGACTGGAGAATGTTGTTGGATGTTGCTGGATGTTTTGCATTTGTTGTCGTTAAAGACTTTACGTTTGTACCCTTAATGCATGGTTTAGGGACCCAAACCCAAGGAACAAACCCTAACGGTACAAAGGAAAACTCCCCGATGTTGCACTCAACCGAGAGCTTATCACCCCTAATCCCTACACCTTTGCACCCTAAACCCCACACCCCAAACGCTAAACCTTCAACGTTAATTTCTTCGGCTCAAACTTTTGAAGCCTTGTGCCCTTGCCTAGGTGGCAATAGCTGCACTCTAAACCGTCTTGACTACGGCCGGCGCTCTCAGTCTCAAGCTCTCCCATCAGCAGCTCGCCCGGGCAGCCTGCAAAGGACATCAACTTACTGGGTTTAATAGGGAAGAAGGGAATACGTAGTATTATGGGGGCTATATAACGAGCATTAGTTGGGTAACATAAGGATCATTATGGGGGTCATATAAGGATCATTATGGGGGTTATATAAGAATTATATTCCCTTCTTCCCTACTAGCAACCAGTAGGAAATCATTCGGCCGGGCGCACGAAGCAACAACTTTCAACGGCCGAATCTGCGGCGCAACAAAGGCGCTTGCAAGCACAAGACAAGGAAGTAAACTTCCCTGAAACATGCTCATGTTTGGGATTATATAGGGGGTAAATTGGGGTCATAATAGGGATTATATTGGGCGTATATAGAAGACATATTGGGGTGCATCTATCGTTCCCCGCAATTCACCAGGTGGTATGCGAATCTGTTCGGTTTAGGTTACTGTAAGCGTTGTCAGCTTTTCTTGCCAACCCATTAGAGCACATGGGATGGCATGCAGACATGAAAGCTGTGCAGAATCAAATTCAGCCTTCCGCCTGAGCTTGAGCCTTATACCAAAGCTCAAGACTGCAAAGCCCAAAGCCTTTAACGCCTCCGTCAGGGGTAGCCCAATTATAGCTGGTACTTATGACTCAGTTAGATCCAGTATAGGGGACTTAGGGGGCTTATAATTCGGCTATAGGGGCAGATATGACTGGGTTGCAATTTCCCTGAATCCCCCAGTAGACCCTAAACCCGAAACCCTAAACCCTGAACTCTAGACCAGAAA